ATAGGAAGTTATAGATAAGAAAAAATACTTCCTCTACATTCAACTTCTTTGCAACCCTGTCTTCGTCTTCCTTTCTCTCTTCTCTCTCTCTCTCCCTTTCTCTCTCTCTCACACACATACACACACACACCCCTATTTTCCACATACACTTTCAAAATATTTTCATTGACTATATCCGACATGAAACTAATAGTTTGGGGCCCAACAGCATGACCTAGCAGCTAAAGTCCTCGCCTTGAATACGCAGGGATCCCATATGGGTGCCGGTTCTAATCCCGGCAGCTCCACTTCCCATCCAGCTGCATGCTTGTGGCCTGGGAAAGCGGTTGAGGATGGTCCAAAGCCTTGGAACCCTGCACCCATGAAAGAGATCTGGAGGAAGTTCCTGGCTCGTGGCTTCAGATTGGCACAGCACCGGCTGTTGTGCTCACTTGGGGAGTGAATCATCAGAGAGAATATGTTCCTCTCTGTATATCTGCCTTTGTAATGAAGATAAAACAAATCTTTAAAAAAAGAGAGAAACTAACAGTTTGTTGATTCATTCAAAAGGCAGACAATTTTGAATGTTTTCTGGCTGCTGCATGCAGTCCAAAGCCAATGATCCGCTTGCAGGCCTCTTGGTCTTGTGTGAGTGAAGGATACATCCATTCTTGCAGCACACAATGTATGGGAAAAACAAGATAATATTCAGGATCCATGACATACAGCAAACACTGCCTAGCCCACCCTTAATCCACAATCTGAGCTAAGGCTGATTAAGCTCTCAAGAACCTCTCTGGTCTATAACTGGTCTGAATTGAGCATCTGTAAGGATTCCATGAGCCAGAATTATGACATAGCAGGTTTTGCTGCTACATAAGACACTGGTACCCCTAATGGGCACCAGTTTGAGTTCCAGCTGCTCCACTTTTTATCCAGCTCTCTGCTAACACTGGGAAAGCAGCAGAAGATGGCAGTGCTGGGCCCATGAACCCTTGCAGGAGATCCAGATGGAACTTTAAGCTGCTAGCTTCTGCCTGGCCCACTACTGGCTGCTGCTGGCATTTGGGAAATGAACCAGAGAATGAAACATATGACACTTTCTCTCCCTCTACTTTTGCTTTTCAAATAAATAGATAAATAATGTTTTTTAAAAAAATAACCTTTCCCCCCCTCTGGACCTGTGAATCTCTAGCCTCCTCTTCCTGAGGTAAGAGCATTGTTTGGGCTTTTCCAGGCTCTGGGTTACTCAGGTAGTTGAGCTCATTTAGTATTTTCCTGGATCTCATCACTCCAATTGATTTCTGTCATTTTCAAGAGCTGGGAACGAAATACCTCCTTGAAAGCATTGATATTTTTATCTCTTTGGTATGTAATAAAATACCTATTCACTCTTTCCAAATGTTATCTGAGAAAACCAGGGAAAGTTCATCAATGCTAACACACACAACACAAAGGTGAAAAAAGTTGTATATACTAGGACCTCTCAAGCATTGAGATGAGTTTTCAACAAAATATAAAATGAAAGTTTATAGCTTTTAATTTTTAATTAAAAAGAAGTTTCCAAAAGAAGAGACACTTTACAAGTCTGAGAAAAGTGCTAATGAGAGTATATTATTCAAATGACACCAGAATAGAAAGTGTAAAAGCAAAGGTGAGAGAAGGACTTAAAAGCTGTTGTTGATTTGCAGAGTGGCACCAGCAGTGTAATCTGGCCCTAATGTAGGGAGACTTAAGGCTAATTTCAACTGTACTCCTCTTCATAGCCCTTGGATTAACCATCTGATGCCTCATGCAGATTTCCCAACCAAAAACAGAAGGTGTGATGGGAGCACTTGACCTAATGGGTAAGATGCTGGTTTGGACAGCAGAGAGACAGAGATTCTCATCTCCAGGGTCATTCCCAATTTGCTTGTAATAGCAAAGGCAGGATCAGGCTGAAGCCAGGAGCCTAGAATTCAATGCCAGGTTTTCTACATGGGTGGCAGGGCTCCATACCCCTCTGCTTGCCAGGGTGCACCTTAACAGGAAGCTGGATTGCAGCGGACTAGCTGGGACTCAGTTCAGGCATGGTCTGACAAGAGATCAGGCATCTCAGGTGGGAACATCATTGTTGAGCTGAAAGTCTTCCTCTATGATCCATTTTGCATTTATTTTTATTTATAGTGTGGCATAGAGATCCAACTTAATTTGAATGTCCATCCAATTGTTCCAGAACCATTTTTTGAAAAGGCAGTTCTTCCCCCCATTTGTATTGTCTTGATATCCTGTTGAAAATCATGTGCGGGGTCAGCATTGCTGTACAGTAGATAAATCCACTGTCTGTGCTATCAGCATCGCCTTTGGGCACCATCTCAAGTCCCACTGTTGCCCTTCCCATCTAGCTCCCTGCTAATGTGCCTGGGAGAGCAGCAGCACATGGCCCAGGTGCTTGGGCTCTTCTACCCATATGAGAGACTCAGCTTAAGCTCCTAGCTCCTGGCTTCAATCTGACCCAGACTTGGCCATTGCAGCCATGTGGGGGTGAGCCAGTGGGAAGAAGACATTTCTCCTTCTGCAGCCCTACATTTCAAAATAAATAAATAGTAATTTTTAAAAAGAAAATAATTTGACTATAACTATGTGGATTTGTTTGTAGACTCTTTGTTCTATTCTATTGATATACATGGTTAAGTTCGTGCCAGCATCACACAGTCTAAATCACAATTTTATGGTGAGTTTTAGACATTCTCCAAATGTGTTCTTTTTCAGGAATGTTTTGAATATTCTAGATCCTATAAATTGCATGTGAATTTTTCTTAATATGAATAGTGCTGTTTTTTGTGTGGTTTTTTTTTTTTTTTTTTTTGCTTCTTTAACTTATATAAGAGAACAAATTTCTTGTATTTCATATAAATTGTTTTAAGAGAACATATGGGAGCTGGCACCATGGGACTTCTCCTATGGTGCTGGCATGCTATATGAACCCCAGTTCAAGTTCTGGCTGTTCTCCTTCCAATCTAATACCATGATAATGCACCTGGGAAAGAAATGAAAGTGGCTCAAGTCCTTGGGTCTCTGCATTGTTGGGGTTCAATGAATCCGAGCGAGACTCCAAGGTGAGTGAGATGATTTTAATGACTAGTCCAAGGGGAAACCTCTTGCCATAAGGAAGAAGCACCCTGAACAAAATAATTGTGGGGATTTTATAGTAAGCAAATCAAAACCTACGTGACAGTGAGCAAATACATGATTAGGGGCTAACAGTGACACAAAATAGAAAACATGAGATAGGAATTTACAATGTATAGGTTGGGGGTCCTGATCATATCACTTCAATGCAGACAGTAATAAAACAACATGCCTCGAAGGTAGCTATCTTTCCCATAAATCTACAAACTCCAGGATTCTCCTGCCTGCCTCCCGGCCTCTCTGGAGATTCCAGACTTCCAGGAGCACAGTGACCTTCACACTTAACCCTTTCACTGCACTCACCTGAGAGACCTAGAAGAATTCCAAGCTCCCAGTCAGACTAGCCTCACACCAGCCCTTGCAGCCATTTGGGGAGTGAGGCCAGCAGATGGAAGATCTCTCTGTGTCTTTCCTTCTTTCTCTACAGAATATGCCTTTCAAATGAAAATAAATGAATTTTTTTTAAAAAAAAAAACAAAAACTAATACACTTTTTTAAAAAAGAGAACAATTGAATTTTAGAATCAATTGTTAACTTCTTGGGACTGAGAGCTTTACTGGGCTTCTTTGTATCTTGTGTGTTTCTTGTATTTTAAAAGGAAGTAATTTTAAATAATGATTTTTTAAAGTTATCAAATAAAACTACTGCATTCTCCAAAAAACTGATACATTTATTTGGACTATATCGAATTATAGATTAATTTGGGGCATGCAGATCATTTTATGGAAGCAAACCTCTCTAGTTGGCAATTCTCATAATACATACTTGGGTACCTGTACCTTTTTACACCTGAACCCAACAGAAACTGCCCAGGCATTAGTAACTTCTTGAGACTAAGGTAATGTATTCTACCTTTAAATACCGACTTGGTAATCTTATGAAGTATTCTACAGTTCTGAAGTATGATATTACAAGCCAATTCTTGCCTTGGCCACTGGATGCTTAGTTACTTCTAAAAATTCAATTTAATTAGCTCCACATGATGTAAATATAAAGCGTCATAACCATTATGCCGAAGTTTTAGTGTGAGTTTTGAGCTTTCGTGCTGTTACTGAAATGATGTTGAAGAGAAATTACGGGCCCAGCTAAACCCTCACCTTGCAAGCACCAGGATCTCATATGGGTGCTGATTCATGTCCCAGCTACTCCCCTTTCCATCCAGCTCCCTGGTGATTGCCTGGGAAAGCACACAGTCAAGGATGGCCCAAAACCTTGGGATCATGCACCGGCATGGGAAGCCCAGAAGAAGCACCTGGCTCCTGGTTCTTGGTCTCAGATTGGTTCAGCTCTAACCATTATGACCATTCGGGGGAGTGAACCAATGGATGGAAGTGCTTTCTCTCTGTCTCTCCTTCTCTCTACAAGTCTGATCTGCCTTTCCAATAAAAAATAAATATTTTTTTAAAAAAGCAAGAAATTAGGCTGATAATCTGCTGTCAAGTGCACACCCCAAGGTTGTGAAGTGCAACTGCCTATTCAAACAATTAACAAACTGTTTGTCAAACGATCTTTGCTATTTAGTTTATATCATGCTATATCATCTATCAGGGCTGCTTGTCCTTGAATCCTTTCTGCTTGGGTTTAGGGTTGCACTAGAGATTCCATAGCACTGCGTTCCTACCTATAGAGGGCAGTCACAACACACCTAGACATTCACCCTAAGCCGCTCTACTTGGAATAGAACACTAAAGGCCACTCATTCCCAAAATAGATAATCCTTAGGCTTTGACCACTGTCACTTTCTAGGGAGGCTCTCAGGGACCCAGCAGCAGCCAGATGAAGAAAAGATTGTGAGCTACCATTGGCAAGACCAGGCAGCAGGATTCACATGAAGCCTCTGTGCTAAGAACATGCCTGGGCTTACCCGAGACAACCAAGAGTGCCTCCAAAAGGCATTTTCCAAACCATCTTCGTGGACACAATTTGGGCCCTTGTTTAGGGCTGAGCGATATAATGCCAGTATTCACCAAAGCAGAGCAAACGACGGGGTCCTGCGAGCAATGCCTGAAGTCCAGGTAAGACGATCAGCACCATCCACAAGGGAGAAGGGAAGGGTTTATCCAGAAAAGGTGTAAAGTCATAGTTCAGCTTTAGGGCCAGCCCTCTTTTTATCTGACAGCAAAGTTACAAAGAATGTTTTCAAATCAAGCCCAAGGAAAAGTAGAGCTTCGATGGTAAGGATAAACTGGTACAGTTTCTCCAGCCTCAACAGTTTCCCTCAGCAAAACAGGTGCTTAGTTTTTGCTTGTTTGTTTGCTTGTCTCCTCTTGATGATTTGTTAAAAGACAGAAAGTGTGGATATACATTTGGTGAATGTTGCTCTCCAGATGTTTTCTCTAACATAATATTCCATACAGAAAAGAAAGTTTCATGTAAATTTGTATGATAAAAAAAACCAATGAAATTGAAAAATTATGCATACCAAAAAAGTTTAATTTTAATTACAGTTCCTGTGAACCTTTTGAAGTGCTCATATATGAAAATCTACCATGAAGTGATTTTATTTTCCCAAAGAGTGAAAACTCTCCTGTTCAGTGTGGTATATTTCCTCCCAGAAAATCCATTGTAAATCTGTAAATCCTCTTAACTATGAATAGAACACTCTCTTAAAAGGTTATTCCGTGTGGGGGGGTGAGTATATCATAATGTTCAATAAATAGCAAGCAGAACACAAGACTAAGTGCTACAAAATTGCACTGCAGCAAACCTGTCCAAACACTTGAACTCTAAAACAGTCATATGTCCCTGTGCCATGCTTACACACTGCTCAGAACCGTTATTTACCTACAGACTGTTTATGTCTGCCTTTTCCCCGATGTTACTTTAAGCAATCAGAACAAGCAGTAAACATTTCAAAAACTTACAAGTCATTAAGAGGCGTTTCCTGCAGTTTTGCTGTTGAACTTTCAGACCTAGGAATGAATAACACAAAAATTTCCATATCGTCTCCAAAATACTACATCTTTAGGAAACCAAAATGAAATGGATCCAGTCGACATGAGTTGTTTATTAATAGACACCTTTTAAAAAGCAACTCATGCAAAAGATATTTCTGAAAGGTAGAATATGGAAGCTAAGGAAATAGCACAACATATGTTTTTTTGCTATGCACACACAATATGTGCAAATATATGTGTTACATATATATACATATATGTTTTATGTGTATGTTTACAGTCTGTGTCCTAGCTGCTCAGTTTCCAATCCAGCTTCCTGTTTTTGGCCTGGGGAAGCGGCAGAGGATGGCTCAAGTCCTTGGGTTCTTGCATTCATGTGGGGGACCAGGAAGAAGCTTCTCAGTGCCAGCTTCAGACCAGCCCAGCTCTGGCCATTAAATAAAACTAAATAAAATCATTTATATTGTGTTGGAATACACAAAGAGAAATTTCCTTTATTTGGCAAATATAAGGATTATAGTACTCCATTCACTTGATTCTATAAATACCATTGAATCCTTCCTACCTACAAACCTTTGGCTAGATACTACAGGGAACAAAGAAAAAGACGAAGAAATATTCTTCCTCCCTACAGACTTACAATATATTTTAAATATGAAAGATAGAGTTCTCAACACATTTTTGAGGTGATACATATAATGACATTCTTTCAATCAGACAGTAAGGAATTAGAGCTGAAATGTGAATTTAAAAAAGGGTAAAACAACTGGAAAAGACCTATTATCATGAAAGGAATGGAATTTAAAGTGCAAGTGCAAATGAAATAACTCTAGGAATGTAGAGAAGTAGGAAGGAGAAATGTGCGTTAAAATGTATGTACTTGTCCAAGGTTCAGCAATGACACCTCAGCCTCACACCTTACATAAAACTCAAAATGGAAACATGGGCTAAATAAGTCCAATTATAAAACTTCCAAGGTTAAAAACTGAAGACAATCGTTACGACCTAAGGAAAGGTAAAGAGCACTCAGGCATCAAAAGCATGCTTCATAAAAGGAAAATTTGGTCAATTGAGTTTCATCAGAATCTTAAAACTATTGTTCTTTCAAAGACACTTTTAGAAGGATGAAAGACAAACCAGACTGCAAGACAATATTGCAAGCTTCATATCTGCTAAAAGCAGATAGATAAAGAACATTCAAAACTTAGACTTTAAAATATCAAGGGACCACCATTGAGGTATACCAGGTAAAGCTGCCACCTGCGACCCTGGAATCCCATATGGACACTCATTTGAGTCCCAGTTGTCCTTCCAGTATATCTTCATGCTAAATGTGCCTAGGAAAACAACAGATGATGGCCCAACTACCTGAGCCCCTGCACTCACGTGAGAGAGCCAGATGAAGCTCCCACTTTCCCAATCATTGCAACCACTTGGGAAGTGAACCAGAGAATGGAAGGTCTCTGTCATTCTTCATCTCTGTAAATCTGCCTTTTTTTTTTATTGGAAAGGCGGATATACAGAGAGGAGAGACAGAGACAGGAAGATCTTCCGTCCGATGATTCACTCCCCAAGTGAGCGCAACAGCTGATGCTATGCCGATCCGAAGCCAGGAGCCTCTTCCGGGTCTCCCACGCAGGTGCAGGGTCCCAAAGCTTTGGGCCGTCCTCCTCGACTGCTTTCCCGGGCCACAAGCAGGGAGCTGGAAGGGAAGCGGGGCTGCCGGGATAGAACCGGCGCCCATATGGGAACCCCGGACATGCAAGGCGAGGACCTTAACCACTTGCGCCACCGCGCCGGGCCCATCAAATAAAAATAAATCCTAAAAAAAAATTGAAAAACAAAATGATGAGGCCAGTGCAATGGCTCAAGTGGCTAGTTTTCTGCTTCCAAGCACCAATATTCCAATGTGGGCACCGATTTGTGTCCCAGCTGCTCCACTTTTGATCCGGTATCCCACTTGTGGCCTAGTTAGCAGTGGAGGGTGGTGCATGTGTTTGGGAACACACATTCGTGTGCGAGACCCAGAAGAGGCTCCTAGAGGATCAGTTCAGCTCTGGCCATTACAGCCATTTGGGGAGTGAACCAGCTGATGAAAGATCTTTCTCTCTGTAAATCTGCCTTTCCAATGAAAACAGACTAACCTTAAAATATTTTTAATAGTTTTTTAATTCATAAATGATTAAAATAGAGATAAAACCAAATTTTGGGTGTGATGTGTAGAAACTGACTCATTTCTAAGTCTTGGAACACAGAAGTTATACACAGATCTATACCTGTGATAAAAGCACATAGACCTGTACACACAGAAATGGTGGGACACTTGTGAAGCCTGTCAATGCCCTGTTTTGATGTTGTGCTTTAGATGTGTGGTTCACATTGGGGAAAACTCGATAAAATGCATAGGATCACTCAATGTGTGTGTGTGTGTGTGATCACAATTATATCACTGTATTATCACAGTTCTTTCAAAACATTTGGAGAAAAAAAAAAAAACAACCTTCTAAAGATAGGCTACATGGATGATACCAACACGCTGTTGTGGTTCTTCTGGTTGTTCGCTTCATTTGCATCCTTGGCCAACTTTATTAAGTCAGTAAGACTGATGCCATCAGACCTGTTTTACAGACTAAAAAACAAGTTTGGAAATGCCAGCAGTTACGTATGTGAGGTCAGCAGAGAAGTGATTTGAAACAGGCTTTTGGATGAGTTTCAATACTAATTTGGTATCTTCTGATACTGACTTAGAAAGAGGGCTGTGATTTAAATGGTTTTGAAGTCAACCTTCTAAATGTATCTTTCTCTACCCATGCTACTCCAGATTAAATAAGCACTGTGGAGGTGCACACACAAGTGTGTACCTATCCTCATCAGATTATTTTTTTTTCCCCCTCAGGATTTTTGCTTCCCTTCCAGACAGGGAGTGCAAGGGTGTACTCTGGGCCATCTGTCTTCCAGGAAACAAATCTAAGAAAGAAATAGCATTACACCACTATAGTGAGAAGTCGTTTCTCTATGCAGATACACATATGTAGAGATGTATGTGCATTCTTTCTCCATATTAAACATGCTCAGCATTTACATGAGGGAAGCTGACTCCACAGTTAGTTTTCAGCTCATTCCAACATCAACAGAGCTTTGTGTGATGAAAAGGAAGAGGAAGGAAGAAAGGAAAACTATCTTATATGAAAATCATTATGCTTGTGGGATCTAATAGTTTAACAGTTCAAAAGAGAGGAATGTGCTTGGCTGCCTCCGTTTTTAAAATAGTACATTCACTGAGAAGAATACAGTTGTTTTTCATGCATCAAAAGTCTCTCTGAGACGTTTTTCGCAGTAACAAGCTTACTACTTGAGTTGTGCACAAGCAAGTCTAGGAGAAAGCCTTCTGAAAGTCTCGCCTGATTCTCTGCACCACGTTGAGTAAGCACGAGTTCATTAGCAATTCTCCACATCTCCTTCCAAAGAAGGCAAATCGCCATGAGTATTCAATGAGCCATTCTTACTTCATTTTTTCTTTGATGGGGTCCATAAATAAGATCATGGGTGTATCCTTAGAAAAATGAAAAAAGCTCTTTGACTGCTTACTCTTTAGTATACAGAACCCAAGACAATCATGTGATATTAAAAACAAAACTGGGGCCCGGCGCGGTGGCGCAAGTGGTTAAGGTCCTCGCCTTGCATGCCCGGGATCCCATATGGGCGCCGGTTCTAATCCCGGCGGCCCCTCTTCCCTTCCAGCTCCCTGCCTGTGGCCCGGGAGGGCAGTCGAGGATGGCCCAAAGCTTTGGGACCCTGCACCTGCGCGGGAGACCTGGAAGAGGCTCCTGGCTTCGGATTGGCATAGCATCGGCCGTTGCGCTCACTTGGGGAGTGAATCATCTTCTTCTGTCTCTCCTCTCTGTATATCCGCCTTTCCAATAAAAAATAAAATAAATCTTTAAAAAAAAACAAAACTGGGGTCGGAGATGGAGACAATGTTGGTCAGAAGAGATCAGCTTTGGTTAATAGGAAGAGTATGGTTTTGTGACTTGTTAGGCAGCGTGGTGACCACAGTTGGTGATAATGTAAGAGTAGATTTTTAAAAATTATTTATTTAGTTGAGAAATGTAGAGAAA